AGAGGGGCCAGGGGAGATGGCGAGTCTGAACTTTAAATTAGGCTAGTTACTCATGTCTCCTAGCTGTGGCAAGAGCTGACTAACTTCCGCTTTCCTGGTGGGAAGAGGAGCTCACATGAGAGCAAGAAGGAAATGCAGAGCCTTTGGTCGCCCTAGGGTTGACGCACAGTCTTTGGGTTAGAAGAGCTGCACCAACTTTAACAGGGTCCACTGAGGTTTGGCTTCATCCTGCAGCAGTCACGAGTGAGCTCTCAAGCCACCTGGATCCCCATGCTAGACTTTGGCAAAGAGCTAGTCAAAGATTCTTATTCTGTGTTGAAAAACAAATGCCACTTCATGTCCCTCACCTTGTAGCAATCACACTGAGACTAGAATCCAGGCCTCAAACTGCTATATCAGTTATGTCATACACAAAGTCCTCCTACTACACTGAGAAAGAGATTTTCCGCGTTCCAGAGACAGAGGCTCAGGTAGATTAAGAACGTTCCTGGAATCACACAGATGATCAAGAGGGAGAGCCAGAAAGTGGGTTGAAGGGCCTGAGCCAAGCTTGGAGTTTGTTCCCCTATATCATGCTATCTTGGGGCTCGGCCTCTGTTAACTGTGGATTAGCAAGGGTAGCCTCTTTTTACTACCCACCAGGACAAGGGGACCTGCCGTGCTTCTCTGGCAATGTCTCTCTGCAGTGTGTGGTCTACAAGCCAGCCCTTTGCATAGTCAACAGTATAACTCTCACAGAAGAGGAAGCACCAACCCAGAGAGCACTGTGCTTGGATTTCCTGTTTCCTACTAAAGCCTGACACATCTATTATCCTCCCATCTGTACCAGGGACTCCAATAGGTTGCTTTGGGTCCAGAATGAGCAGGCTTGTTTCTATCCAGAAGCAAAGGTCTCTAGTGCATAGTCCACAAGACCCTGTCATGAAGGGGACACCAAACACTAATATATCAATCAGGTAAGCAGCTAGGAGAAAGATCCAGGACAAAGACAGGATTCTCTCTCCTTATGTTCTTAGAGATTCTCACCTCAGGACTGCCAAGCTGGATTGAACTAAGCATGTATGTGATTCAATGTGGCAGCCCTCATGGTTCACCCTGTTTTCAGAACTGCCTGGTGTCATCCACAAGACTTCTCTCCTCTATAGATCTGATCCTGGGAAGGATTGTCAAGTTCAATCCACATCCAAAGGACATTTTACTCATAAAACTCTCAAAATGACTCAATGCTCATGACGTGTTTCTTGCTTAAAAAGTAGGAAAACTCTAGCTGTACCTGGGACAGGCCCATATGACTATTTTCAGCTTTAGAATAGAAATAAACTATTAACATGCTTTCCAAATGGCCTCAGTTCTACCTGACCCAGAGGACAGCATTCAAGTGACCCATTACACAGACAACTAAGAGGGACCAAAAGGCTCCCATTTCCTAACTAGAAACAGCTTACTACGACCTCCACCCCCCATTAACAATTATTACCGAAGGAACAGAGTTCGAGGCTAGGAAAAGAAAATATGCCCGTTCTCTTCCTTCTCCTGTTGGCATTAGACTTCCTCAAGGACAGGTGGCTTGGCTAGAAGGCAGGGGAAGAGAGCAATGAAAGTATTTGGATTTGGAGATTTCTTGGGAGTCCCTCAAATGCAGCTGCCATGTCAACATACAGAGGTTGATGGTGACTGATACAATGATTGCCACAAAAACTATAAGCATCTAGAGTAAGAAAAGCAAAGCTCCCAGGTTAATCGGTAGTAGGTCAGGGATCTAGGTTGCTATACTATTAAGTATCTATGTGGCCTCCAATGAGTCATTTAACGTCTCTGGGTCCGAGTTTCCTCATCCGTAAAATGCAAAGCTCACTGCAAATGTCCACTGCTCTGACTCTGAGAACTGGGACAACATTAGCCCACCTGAGGTGTCAGGTGTGGAGCACTCTGTCTCATTGCACAGATTCCTCCCTCTGTAGCACTCTCGGACTCTAAAACCATGTTCCAGCAAATTCTCATTTCTGAAGAAGGAGGCTAGAGTGACCCACAGTCAGGAGTGAGATGCTGGGGCAAATGATTTTCTTTGGACCAGTGTTTTCTTTAAGCCTCTGGATGCTTCTTGTACATCACAACCACTTCATTCTAAGCTGTATTATAGACTCTTTACAATCAGTTTTCTAAAATGTGTAACATATTTGGTCATAGGTGAAATACAAAAGATTTTAAAATAACATTAGAATTTTCTTTTAGAATTGCCTATAGAATCCCTCTACGCTTAAAGAAAATATTTACTCACTAGTGAGAAAGCTTTGGAATTTGAGAATGGTGTGCTATTTTGAACCGGAACCAAATCTGAGGAATCAAGAGCTCAAAGCGGGAAGTACAGCTTCTAATCTAACAGTGTCTGAACAAAGAAGTCGTTGGTACCTATAAGGCTTCTAAAACACACTGAAAACAGCTCCTTTAAAAAACTGTTACAGGTTAGAAACATTGATCAGGGTATCGGTGTAATTCTCCAGGACAGAAACCATTGTCTTTATTTCTGTTGCCCTTTGCTTCTCCCAACTTGACTAGAAGGTCACTGAAGTTTCATCCACAGTGTGCTTCGAGGGACGCTGTGCCCAGCATTCACTCAACACCAGCTGGCTGGCTGACTGAATGAGCCAGAATGTATCTGTAGGAAATGGTCCCTCACCAGCTCTCAGAAACTCCTGAAAAAATGCTGACGATGCCTGTGTAGGTGAACCACACCCTCCCCCCTGTATTCCCAGCCTTGGGCTGCCATGTTGGTTTCACCAGAGGGTGGGAAATACAACATTCCATGCTAGTTGTACCAACCACGGGAAAGTCCCACAGGCATGGGGTTATCTCACACCACAGGTCCTTGTTCCTGTTTCTCCTCCTCTCTAAACCTGGACCCCATTGGGTCTTGCCCAGTGCTCAGCTGATTATATGTCTGTCTTCAATATCAATTATTCTACTTCCTCTCCTCTCAGCCCCCCTCCCTCTGCCAAATCCTCATGTGTGCTCAGCTCTTCCCTGTTCCCATAGCCTCTCCTGAACTGAGAGGAGACGGGACAAGCCTCAGCAGCTACCCTGTCATGAGTCATGTCTGCAGTGTTGCCAGCAAAGGAGTGAAGAGGGATGGGCCTTAGGGCGCGGGGAAGGAAAGGGATTTTCAGTGGTTGTCAGAAAATGGGCACAGGGAGGTGTGGGGGCTGTTTGGGAGCATTAACAGGCAAGTGAGACAACTAAAGATTAATTATCTAGAAGAAAATGTAAGGAAGGCACAGGCCATATGAGGCCTTTTAGAAATACCTCCTCCCACATTTCCATGGTTACACTCTCCGTTTGATAACATAGTTAATGTAGCATGATATCAACATGCGAATGAAGCAGACAGACTGGTAGCATCGGTCTCATTTTATGGAGTAGAAAACTGATGCCTAGAGTGGCTACAAGTTTTATCCAGAGTCACAGAAATGAGTAGAAATAGCCCAGAAATCTCTAAGCTCTAACCTGGTCATGTATATTGTTAGCATGATCATGAACATGTATAAAGTTAGCATTATTCCCTTGGATCAGTAGGTCCAGTTGTTAGCCTTTAGGGGGTCTTAGCTAATCTCTCTACTCTGCATTACTATGGAGTTTTCTGAATCTCTGTGGACATCATCCTTTGTATTAAAGCCATTTCACATCACTGAGTGCTCTGCAAGCTTATTTGGTTTGATCAATTAAATTTATGCTGTCCCGAGAAGGACAACTGATATAAACCTGCCCGCCAAAGGAAGAGAAATGAACTTGCACCAGACTGAGTTCATTCTTTTCCATGGAAGACAGATACAAAACGGACAAAGAAAGGAAATCAAGCCACAGTGAAAGAACATGAAATACACAACTCCATCCTTCTTTGCATAGGACCCCAGGATCTTCAGCAACTTGGAGTGACATCTGTGACCATTCGTTCAAAACAAAATGCTGCTGACCCTGTAGCCGCACGAAGACACAGCCACAGCTTTGCACAGAGGCACATCTTTTATCTCTGAGACGAACAAAAATTTCCAAGAACAATGCAGGTTAATGCTGAATTAGCAAAAGTAAACAAAACTCATGGAATTTGAGGCCTCTGGGAAACCCTGGGTACCAATATCCCCAGTTTCAGAATCAGTACAAAACATGTACTGATTCATATGATTTACCCAGAGCACCTGCCACAGTGCTTCATACAGAGCTCAGCTCTGTAGGTCTCTGTTCAGGAAACAGGCAGGTTGGTGTAGGGCGTTGAGAAAGACAGAGCCAGAACTCAGATTAAAGGATCTAGAATTATGTTCACCCACATTAATCTTTAAAAACCTTACAAATTGTAATCTGCTTTCTATGTATATTAGTTTCATTTAATCTTGACAATAACCCAAGAATACTTGATTATATCCACTTTGCTTGTGATGAACTTGAGGCCCAGAAGTTGAAACCCAAAGACACATGCTCAGTGAGTGTCAGGACTTGAATTTGAACCCAAACTTTTCTGACTAGTAAACTCAAGCTAAGCTCTTCTGCAAGCCAAGGCAGCCTTCGCAGAAACTGCTGCAATGGACATGTTCTCCTGGTCTCAGGAGACCTTCTGGGTCCTGCTTTGCTCATCTAAGTACACATGAAGAGAGAAAATACTTCATGATTTCCCTAAAAGCCTCTGTCTGTAATGGACCTCCAGGGTTCAGACTTCTCACATCCCCTTGATCAAAATCAGAAAAGTTGGGAAACAGAGTTGTACAATGCTTTTTCTAAAATGTTCTCACCCGAGATACCCAGAAATCCCCGATCAGCATCAAAGGAGGCTACACAGAGTTCCCTGTGAGGCAATGACCAAGCTAATAGACCTGGTCAGACCTGCAGCCTTCATTTACTGACTGGAGTCTACATTTCTCTTTTTGAGCAACCAGTGAAAGCTTTCTGTTTCGGGAACCCCAGACCATGCCCACAGACATTCTAGATCTTTCTGAATAGAAGCAGTTTCTTACCGGATAGCCCCACGAGCCATTCCCCGCCTGGAACTTGGAGAAGTAGCTGCTTCTGCTCGTGGTCCCGTAGTTGTTGTAATTGTCAGCCAGCCCATCATACATGGAGCCTGGAGGGCAGAGTAGGGAGGTTAGGCAGGGATGACTATCAGCTTCACCCCTCCCTGCTCCTGCGCTATCACCCACATCCAGGTCCACCACCACTGTGGAGGGAAGCAGTCTGAGTTCCTGGGGGAAGGGGTGGAGAATGGCTGGTCATCTCTTGGCCATGCCCATCCCTCTCCATTTCCTCCACAGCCAGGGCCCAGCAAAAAGCCACCAGACTGCCACAGGGCAGCTCTTAGACCCCTTGGAAGACATTGACACCTACAGGTCACGAGCTGGCCTGGAGAGCCTTGGAGAACAGCAGCTCCTGCACAGGGAATCACCAGCCCATGATCCACAAAGATGAGATCCCCACTTGGGGAAGGAAGACAGGATCTCAACATTCCAGGTCCAGACTCCCAAGGTGAGAGCAGCCACACAGCAGTGCACACTGTAGAGTCTGCGTCTGTCAGGACTGTGAATTCCAACCCAAGCCCAGCCCCCACAGGTGATCAGGTAGCCTGCCCCTTCCTTCTCTTCTGAGGTCCTCCCGCTGGCAAAGGGGGAACAATGATCAACCTCAAAGGCCCAGTGTGGATTAATTAATGTTTGTACACTGCTTGGAGACCCACAAATGACAGGCTCTGCAGGAGGACAGAGTGTCATTACGGTTATTAGTGGCAAAGTGGATTTGAATCACAAAAAGCAGGCTGGATTTAAGGTTCATGGCAGGGACCCATCTTCCTTCTCTCTTTCACAGAATGGCAGCGGGTGGCGAGGCCTACAGCATTGCCCCAACTTCAACCAAGTTGGTCTGTTTGAGGTCCTACCGTCATGAAACAGGGCTGTCAGTGACATGTCACTCCCCATGCTGAATCTGTCTTCTCTTCTGGGCTAAAGCCATCTTTCGAAGCCAGACTCAAGACTTCATCTCCTTCAGGAACCCCTTACTGACCAGCCCCACTTAAGGCAATCTCTCTAGTCTCTGCTATATTGTGCTTTTGTACCCCAAGTTGTGTGCCACCTGGCGTCCATATTTCCTTGGCTACATTGGGAACACCATTAAAAAATATGCCATGGTTCTCTGGCCTGCATATCCATATCAAGGCTTGCTCACTCTTATTAAATGTGGCCTCTGGGTGAGCAGACAGAACCTTCTTAGTGGGATATGCACCCTTTTCCTCTAAATTGATGCTTGGAACACCCCCCTCCCATCAAAAAGCCTGTCTAAAGGGGAGAGGGGCTGGACCTTTACCTCCCTTAAATCCATTAACCCTTACACTTCTGCCAAACCCACACAGTTCTAGGTCATTTCCTGGGAACCAAATTGTCTGATAGGCACTTCAGAATCAGGCCAGCATCTTGCTCAGGGCCATCTCCTCTGTCCAGTGCCAGACCCACAACAAGAGGCATTTCCCTTGATTCCCACTCCTCATCTTGGAGGGTGAGCAGGATTTAGAGATATTGGCTGTGACAGTCATAGTTTGCTCCAGAAGTCTAACTGTGCCTGGCCCACAAGTTCTCCCTGGGTCTCAGCTTCTTTTTCTGTAAAAAGCAGTTTCTCTGTATCCTAAATGGTCCATGCACTCCCAGAGCTCCATGGCAGGCAACTATGACTGACCCTGCCTCCTCTGCCTCTTGCCTCAGGGACATTCCCATCCATAGATTCCAGAATCCCACATTGTAGGGCCCAGGACCAGGCTTTCCCCTAAAAGTGAAGTCCTAGAATTCTGCCTGGTCTAAAGAGCCTCTGATTTACTTCCAGCCCTCTGCTGGTACGGTAAATTTGCTCTTGACCCTGTCCAAACTGCAACTGCTCCTCTGGACAGACTGTGTTTTCATAAGGAACAGGAAAAATCCTGTGACTTGGTCACCAGAGAAGGGGCCGCAGCCAGGCAGAGACATCATCAGGACTCCAAGGAACTGACATCTAGGTCTCACCCGCCTTGATCCAGCCCATGTCCGTCATCTCTTCTAAAGCTTGGCAGGCCAGTGTCTGCTTGGCTCTCATCTCTTGAGCAGGCATTTCTCCCCAAAGGGCAGGTATGGGTCAGCCAGCTACTTCCAGATGGAAACTCTGGAGTGGTGACAGATACTTCAACAAGGCCTCAGGGAAGCCTCCTACTTTAAAATCATCTCCTGGAGGCTCCCACCCAAGCCTCCACCCTGGTGAGAGGGAATCTACCAGCGTGCCCTGACACCCACAGGTCAGATAAACCATCTCCCTTTTCCATGCCCTTCACCACCCTCGCTGCCCTCTCGTACATTCTCCAGGAGAAGTAGGAACTGTGCCATAGAGGCAGAAATTAACACAGGGACAGATGGACAGATGGAAGCAGAGAATGAAATACTGTATAATTCCCAGAGCTCGTCCCCATGGCCCACGGCGACTCAGGTAAAAACAGCTCTGAGCTGTAACTCTCATTTGGTTGGTTGCTTCCAGGCAACTTCTGAAGGTATCCTCCAAAACCTATCTGCAATTAGGGTGCCGCTTGGCTCCCTGTGAGAGTAAGGCAGCCATTATGCCAGCCAGAACTGCTTTTCTGGCAGAAGGTAGGCGTACTGCTGCAGGAATGGCAAAGGTGGGGAGGAATGGAGACTTGTGACACATTCCGAATCACACCTAGCAGCAGTCAGGGAGAGAGGTGAGCTCTCTCTGTAACAGCGCTGTTCTCACACAGAAACCACTTCCTCTCTCCTGACCCCAGGCGATCTGGATGGTAAGCCATGTCCTCTAAAAAACAAGTTCAACAGCAAGAACATGGAGCATTTCAGCAAGTGTAACCATGACAGCTCACTCTCCACCTGGTCTTTCTACTTCTACAAAACTTACTTCTGGGAAGCCTTCCGTGGCTAGCCATACTTGAAGCCTTTCTTGTATCTGCTTCATTTCCAGCTCGTGCCTGTACTCTCTCTTCCATTGGGCACGTGGGCACTTTGCAGAGCCAGGATTATAGCTCCTCTTTCCTAGGGATCCTGTACTAGGCACTGCTCTATCTGTGACTTGGCCTAATTGGCCTAAGCTGGATATTTTGGTACCATTTTTCTTTCCTGCCCAGTCCTGTGGGAAAGGTACTCTGGTCTGTATGGGCTCAACACCTCTATTTAATGTCAAATGGAATTAAAGTCTTAGAATTCTATCAGCCAGGACCTGATAGTAGTGTTATTTGGAACAAATAACATGGGCTGCATGAAATTACAGATGCTCAAGCCCACCTCCTTCAGAAGGATTCTCTTTCCTGTGGGTGAGGGTTAAGGGAGAAGTCTGAACATCCAGTTTACCCCTCAGAATCATGTTGTCCTTTCCAACAAGAGTCTGCCTTCCCACTGTTCTTTCTGTAGGTGCATTGGCTATGAACAAACATGATGGTGACTTCTCAGTGAAGCTGGCAGCCATCTCAACTTGGGCATCATCACTGGGACACACATCTACACACAGATGCCTACACACAGAACTCCGACATCTTAGAACATCGATGCATTCCCCTGTTCTAAAAGCAGTGTGAGTTTCTTGCCTCAGTCCGTTCCAATGTAGAATTTCATAGGTGAAACCATGTCAGTCTACTGTACTGAGGACAGTTGTCCCTGTGTTCATCTTCTCTTCTGTGCCTTAGATGAGACTGGCTGGTGTTCTTGTGTCATGTGAGCAACCCAAACTTTATCAGCTACAAACTCTTTGAAAGGCAGGTACAAATGGGAGGGGCAACTCATTCTTTTCCACTTCCAAGCTTTCAGACAGGTGACACACATTGCACTTGAAGCTTTCTTTCTCTTCTTGAGCCAACCCCCTCTCTGCACTCAATACCCTGCACAAAACTCAGTTATAGAGCTTACCCATCTTTTGCTACTCCAAACCTTCATCACAATCGCATTAGCCCTGGGCCCAATGGCTGTGCTTACTCCATCTATGGTGGCTAGTATGTTTCTTGCAGTGTGGGGTCTGTACAACTGTGTGTGTGCTTGTGTGCATACATGCGAGTGTGAGTGTGTGTGTGTGTGTGTGTGTGTGTGTGTGTGTGTGTGTGTGCGTGTGCGTGTGCATTCATGCACCCTTGCATACCCTTCTTCCAGAAAACTGAGAGCTCCCTAAGCAATGGACTTTGTACTTGAACTAAACTCACCTCACCTCCAGCACCAGGCCCAGCTTCTACATCAAAAAAGACCTCAACACACAGCCCGCCTGACGGGCAGCCCTCAGAGGTAGAGGGTATCTGAAACTCCTCTACTTTCCTTCTTCTCCTAAATCTCTCTACTTTGATGAGCCGGACTTGTCAGAGGGAACCCTCTCTGGAAGTCTGTATCTCTCTCCCATAAGGCTGATGTGTCTTCAAGGGTGACACTACCCCCTCACAAGATATTCAAGAGTCAGGGAGAAATGGACCGTGAGAACAGATGACCAAGTGTCTCAGAAGGAGTTGGGCTAGCCTCCTCCCTAATCCTTTGCCTGGCCACAGGAAACACTGCCAACTGCTTCTCCTTCTCTGGAGCTCCCAGGATCCTAGGAAGGGCAGATGGTTCAATACAACCTCTTCAAGCACTGTGCTGTGGTTCTTGGCCTCTTCCTGGGCATATGCACACAACAGAAAGGCCAAAACACAAGATGCTGCCTTCATTGGGCATGCTTTCCTAAGCTTCATAAGCCTCCTTATGACCTCCATAAGGTTTTGCTGAGCAATGGTTAAGGCCAGCTCTGATGGAGCCTGTTCTTTCCAGTGGTACCTGTGTAGCCACAAGCAAACTCACAACATGGGTGGAGCATGAAAGCTTTCTGTGGAAACAAACCTGACACAGGCAGGATGGTGAGTTAGAGTAGGCAAGGGTAGAGGGAAACTCAGCTGTGATCAGGAGTAAAATCTGTCACTAGAGGAAGAGTGAGTGAATGGCATGTCAGGTCCTGGGAATCCTGGTGCTGGTGTGACGTGAGTAAAGGGCGGGGACTGGGATCATAGTTCTGAACCTTGCTACCCAGCAGAATCCACGGAGGGTTCTAGAGTACCACTTCCTACGCCACCCTCTATACTGGCTAAATCAGAATCTCAGACAGCAGTGCTTGCTTTTAAAGACTCCCAGGTCATTGCAATCTGCAGTCAAGTTTGAGATTAGCTGATGAGAACTTTACTTTTGTATGCTAGCTAGGTATTTACCACAGAGACATAACCACTGGGGTGTCTTGAGAAGAGGACAGCAGCAGACAGTTTGGGCAAAGTTTCTACACAGGGAGGGAAGGCTCCAAAGGGTACAAAGCACTTTTGATATGATCTTACCCAATTCTTAACAGCTGCAGAGACTCAGAGAAAGGCAGTGACTTGCCCAAGACAGCATAGTAGAGAATAGTTAATAGCCAAGTTGGATTCCTGCCACAGTACAAGTTGTAAGGTGTGGTATGTGTACATGCCTAGGCTATGTGCTATGTGTGCATCTGTATATGAGCATGCACAGGATGTGGTATATGTCTCCGTCTCTGTGAACAGATGTATATGGTAAATGTGTATACTCATGTGTGGAAATACATTCATAATGTAAAATGTCCACACGTATACATAGATGCATGCACTAAATGCATGCATGCATGCATGTGTGTATTCATGTTGTGGTGTTTGCATGTACAACCCTATGTATATGTGCATTGCATATGGGTGTATGTGACATGGACATATATGTGTGCATATGTGTGTATATTCATGTATATTGGAGCATGTATATGTATGTAATTGTGTATGTCCATGTGTATAGAGTAACTGTATATCTACAAGTATATCCACGGGAAGAATGTATGTACATGTATATAACACAAACCTACAAAGAATATCAAATAAGGATACCTGACATCATCCCATTTAATTATGGTCAAACATCATATACCTTCTAGCATCATACCCCTTCCCAGAAGCACTTTTCAGATTTTTAACCTATATTAAATAACATATTAGTATTTACAATTTGGGAGGGTAGCCCCACCACACAGGTTACCTGGCAGTGTGGTCACTGCTCCCTCATTCTACCCTCCAATATATATTTTACAAACTCTGCCAATGAGCTTAGCAGGGGATGGGATCCAGGAAAACAAACAGTGTTTGCTACAAAACATTCTGGGATACTCCACATTTTTGCATGTGTTGTAACAGGTCAACAGAAATACTGGCTAAAACCCCAACTTCAAGAATGGTAAAGAAACAGAATTAGTTCACTTGAAATTTAATTAGTATGTTTCGCCTCTGGAACAAGCTTAAACACAAATGCCCTTTACCATCTCTCATCTCCGTTTGCTGCCCAAGAAAACAACTCCACAGCAATGTCTACCCATTGTCCGTGGCCAGGGAAGGGCAACCTTCAAGAGTAGAAGGAGCAGAGCCTTTCTCTGGCAGGGGTTCATGCTGAGACACAGACGAATACAAACATGCAAGTCACCAAAGGCAGGGCCGCCCAAGGCTGCCCTTTCATAGCACTGAGGAGCTGGCATGCCGCTGCTGAGCCTGAACAGGCGGGAAACCTGGAAGGTGAGCAGGCACCTCCACTAACCCAGTCAAACTCCAATCTCTGAGTACAGGGGAATAAAGGCTCTGTGTTTTAGTGGGAAATGCCATTTTGGGGAGGGGGCGGAAATACCATTTCTGAGAAGGGAGAACTTCTGGCCCAAGTTGGGAATTTAGAATCACATACACCTAAGTAGGCAACATCCTGTAGTTCAAACGCTGGCCATACTGGATTCTTTGGAAGTAGAAGGGAGCCCCTTCTATGGAACTTTGTGTGTGACCTGTATGTCGTGGTGGCGGGTGTTGTGCTCGAATCAAATGAGATATGGGGCAAGCTGTATGAAGAGATTCCAGATGAGTTGTACAAGTCTAGAAGGTGTAACTAGTTGTCAGCCCTTCACCCTCATAGGACAGACCATCATCAACAACCAGAGGGCCTTCCCCACCCTTAGGGATGTCAACAGTCCCTTGTTGAGCAGATTTGACATCTCCACCCCCACCACACCACCATTTGCCTCTTATTTCCCACACAGTCAGGAAGAAAATTATCTAACACCCTGACACCCGAAGGGACACCCTGAGAACACAGGAGAGCTACTTCATGGCCAGTTCCAACTGGTAGATAGCCATGTCCCTCTGCATGGTCTTCAACCCTCTTGGGGACTTCATGACCAAGCTGAAGAATCTAATCTACCACGAATAAGGAGGAGATAGGTAGAGGTGTGCCTTTAAGTAGTGTCAGATTCTTTCTCTAGCCCCCAACAGTTCAAGTCCCCTTCCTAGAAAGAACAAGGGACAAGGGTGGACCTGGTGGAGAAGGCTCTGAGGAAAAAGGAAAAACCTCTTTTAACCACCAGGGCCATGGGTAAATGCCCCTGATTGTTCACCAGGGCACGAGGAGCAGCAGCTATTCTGCCAAGCAACCCTTTGGGTGGGGCCAGCCTTCTTTAGAGCTGGGTTCTCACCAGAGAGGCCCTGGATGTGAGGCCAGGAGCTCCAGACCCATTGAAACCAACACTTTGTTCCAGGGGAAGACTATGCGAGAAGCCAAGGGTCCAGGGGTAGAGTAGGCCTTCCACAGCTGCCAACTGGTCTCTACCAGGATAGAAAACAGACTCCTGGCATGGAAATCACCAGGAGAAAGAGAGAGCAGAGTGGCCACGAAGCAAATACAGAATGCTTGGGCGTTGTGGATGAAGAGGACGGAGAAATCTGACGAAAACAAAGCCAGATAAACCAGACACACCAGCTCCAAGTGCCCCAACCGCCTATTCCAGCTGGGAAAACTGGCCCCCTTTGGGAACCTCCCCAGAGGCTGAGGTTAGAGGAGACACACCTACAGGGCTAGTCTCAGGAGAGTTTCTGGACAAGTATGCATTAGGAGGCATCAGGGCCAGCCCTAAGCCCTCACCTGGCTGAATCTCCTTGGGGGAACCTTTGGTAGAGACACCATTAGACTGTTACCCACAAAGACCAAAAGCTAGAAGCAGCATTCTGAAACATCCTGATAGGCAGGGAGAAGGGACAATGCGACCATGGACCCAGTTTGAGATGTTCCTGGCCCCATGGGCAGGAGCTGAGGCTGGCAGAGTAGGGGTGCAAAGGGACAAGGTCAAGCATATGCCAGAGAAGAGTGGGTGGCCTTAAGCTTTGCCCTGGGCTGTGGCTGGATGAAGCCCTTTGTCACTCCAAACCTGCTTTCAAATGAAGCCAGTAAGCAGTGACAAAGGCACTAAATAAAAGGGGAGTGAGGCAAGGGAGTGCACATCTGGCAGGAGATGAGCCAGGAGCCCAGACAAGGGCAAAGGGCACAGAGAAGAGCAAAGCTTCTGGTGTGGGAGGTGGCAGAGTCAGCCGACAGCCATTTTCTCTCTCTTAGCTCTACAGAAAGTTCACTAAGGATCAGAGGGGAAAGAACACATGCACACTGGACAACTGGTAAGCCCATTTCCTCTGTTGCTCGCCTCTGCCCTTCACTGTCTCCTAGGACTCTCCAATAAGCTTGACCTGGACTCGTTCACAGTATGCACTCTTATTAGCGTTTTACCCAGTTTGGCTAAATAATAAGAACAAATAAACCGAGCTTTGTTGATATTTGATAACCAGAGGTTGGCATATTTCTCACCGGAATCCTCTGTATGACAATTTTACTCTAAATTTAACTTTAACAACGGTCAGGTATACTTTCCACCTTCAGCTTCAGGGACTCGTCCCTGTCTCCTAGCCTCCCCCAATCGAGGGCCTTGTCACTCACAGACCCTGGGGTGAGGACAGGACTGGAAGCCCAAACTGGTGAAGTGGGCTCAGCTGAGACTACGAGTGTCCCCCCCCCATTCATTTCTGGTTTGACACTATTTTCTACTCAAGCTGGGTCAGGAGAAGGGGGCTCTGTATTAACTATTAAAAAAAGGGGACAGGCCCTCAGAACCCCCTTCGTTTCTGTAGGAGCACTGGCCCTATGGCACCCTTCTAGTCATATTTGCATATTCCCAGTTTGGTAGAGAATCCCAGGGACTAGTGGGAGAAGGGGCGAAGTCCCTGACTACCTCCTCATCCCATAGTGCCTCTCCTGAACCCAGACTCGGTCACAGTAATTCAGTCACTCTTTTTCCTGTTCAACACACCGCCTCCACCAGGGATGTTGTCCCTCTGAGCCTGGGTGCAAGCTGGAGGCTAAAGGTTCGGGTGACTGCAAAGCCTAGGGAAGGTGGATGGGAGGAGGTGGTGTGCGAGGTAGGAGACAGTACTGAGTCTGGGACTCCAGGACAACCACTTCAAGATAATATGAGGCTGGTACCGCCGGCGGAGCAGGACTGGGAAAAGAGAGCTGAGTGTCATCTCGATTCAGGTCCCGCTCGAAAGGTACTCTCAGCCGTGTCCCCCAGTAAGCTACCCACAGCGCACTCCTGACCTATAGGAGCTCCTGACCCACAGAGTGGACCCACTCCAAGCCATGTCCCCCAGTGAGCTACACATCCGGATCCACGGTGCGCTCTAGCTCTAGCATTAGGCTAACCCAAGGCGGGCGAGCCCACCCTGTGGCAATGGCCTGAGAGCTGGGCTGCGGTCACTCCTTGCAGAGCCCGTCCGGGCGGACTGACGCTCAGTCCCCAGCCAGCAGACAGAAGAAGCGCGTCGGGAGGGACGCACGTCCCAAGGGCGCAGCGCGCGCCTTTACCTCGGTTGGAGTGGCTCAGGGTGGACGACTGCGAAGACTTGGATTTCTGCCGTTTGACGGTCATCATCACTTGCTCCTGCACACGCTGCCTGCCCGACGTGCCGGTCTTCATCCTTTGGTCCGAGGGCAAAGCCAGCGTGGAGTTGTCCTGGTCCTGGAAGCATTCGTACGCCAGCGCGGTTTTGAGTGGCGAGTGGT